AAGCCAACTGTGATTTAACTATACTTCAATAAACTTAAATATTTTCTCCTCAAATACATAATATGTTTGAATAAATGACCCGTGGAATTAATTTTCATACTTTCATATAGTAATTGTTATTTCATGTTATACAGAATGCAGGTCTTTTGTAAGTTAACTTGACATTCAGAGTTGAAATTGCTTTATAGTAACACTTTATCGAATGCATAGAGTAGTTTTGAGAATACATTTGCGTGTAAACATTGTCATGAGTTGTTTTAATGTTAACAAAAATATGCCTTTAGGTAATTTTTTTTCATCAAATGTTTGTACAGGTTACTAGTGTAATTGTCAGAGACCAAATTGTTTCCAGTATTTCTCCTCTAACACGTTTTCATGCACTCACATTGAATTTGATGCCATGTGAACAGAAATGTGTATGCTTAGAGCATACATATATCCTGGGACCTTCTTATGAAGTTCCCCCAAACCACCATAAAGCATGAGCAAGACAAAATATATCATTCATTTTATCCAAAACTTTTTCATGTGTTCGGTATATACTATTGCAAGATAAATATAGGGTGAATCGTATAGAACTAGCCTGATGAATTTGCTAATAATTCCGCAGGTGATTCATATAACCGTTCAATTAGGACATAATAATCCGTGGGCTGTGCTGAGTTGAATGGTGTGTGAATGATCCGGCAAGTGGCAGCCCTTATGCTGCAAGGTCAAGGACAATGCCAAAATGTGTCTGCAGTGGGCAGGCGACAGTCATGGAGTACACTATTGAACAGCGAGTGTTTCTAATGCCTACTTGAAAACTGTGGACACTTTCAACACCTGCTATGACCACGGCACACAATCCAAGATAAGATATGTGTAAATTACTTTAATATCTGTATGGTATATTTCATATTACACCTCATTTCGTCTGGCCGGTTCTATATGAATCACCCTGTATAAAAGTTCATTTAGATACTCAAAGTGATAAGCTATTGTGTATAGTCTTATGCAAGAAGGAACTAGCTCCAAAATGCTGTTTTTCAGCTCGGCAATTTTTAGAAAAACATGAAATATAAACTATACTAAATCCTTATTTGATGGTTAAAAACTGGAATCTGCACTATATAACACAGCTTTTCAGAACCTTAACAGCCGATTATTTAATTTTGGTACAGTTAGAAATACCAAAGCAATTTGATGGCTGGCTCCTCCTTGCATAACTGCATCCATTTGTTAGGGTTTCTGTTGAGGTTTAGTCTGGGTTGAGAACAAAAGATTTAGACATATATTTTATAAGGAAAGCATGGATGAAAAGAAAGGACAGTGTGCCACTATGATTATTCATGTTCTTGTATGCATTTTGAATACCTACCTGTTTAATCACATACCTTCATCTGCTCAGGTCCCAATCTTCGAAAAAAGAAAAAAAACTTACTAATGAAAAAGACTGCTTGGTATCAAACCTGGGGTCCTTAGAGAAATTTTGAACTGCACCATACGATGGGGTACCCAAAAGAAACCGAACTAATTTTTTTGTGGGCAGAGCTTTTGTAGTACCGTGTTTTGCCGCTATGAGTGCATAGAGCTAACATTCCTGAGTCGATAAGGTGACTACCGTTGCTTCAGAAAGTAAGGACTAGTTTCGGCAGAGTTTATAGTGACAACTGTTTTGTGTGATCATCGTTTTTGCAATAGCTGATTTTCGTGAACAGCGTGCGGCGGTGAAATTCCGCTTTTTGCTCGGGAAAAGTGGAACAGAAACTCTTGAAATGTTAAAAACGGCGTACAAGGACGATGCTATGGGGAAAACTCAAGTGTTTGAGTGGTTTTCCCATTTCAAAAATGGTGAAATGTCAATTGATGACAAACCTCGTTCTGGTCATCCTTCCACGGCCCGAACACATGAAAATGTTAAAAAAATTCGTGAAATCATCAAGGAAGATCGACGACGGACCATTGAAGAAATTGTGGAGCTGTCGGGAGTGACTTGGAGCTCAGTTCAGCGAATTTTGACAGAAGATTTGGGAATGAAAAGGGTGGCTGCGAAATTCGTGCCACGACTGCTGACTGCTGAACAAAAACAAGGTCGCGTGGAAGCATGCTGTGCTTTGAAAGAAGAGTCCCGAAATGATCAAAACTTTTTTTCAGCGTTTTGCTGATGTTGCTGAGGTGAAGGAAAAAACGACGGAGGCGCTGTCAAGCATCTCAAAAGATGAATTTAGACAATGTTTTGAAAAATGGAATAAAAGACTAGACAAGTGTATTAGTGTAAGTGGAGAGTACTTTGAAGGGGATTGAAGGTTTGTGCTTAAAATTTGAATAAATAAGTTTAAAAAAAAATAAGTTAGGTTTCTTTTGGGTACCCCCTCGTATATGAAGATACTGTCTTTTGGGATGTGATGCTGTGTAGTTTGGTAGATATTTACTGTGTATTGGAGAACTACTGCTTCCACCTTCAGNGCAGCAAGGAGGAAAAAAGGGCGGTAAGACCATCACTATGGAAACCTCAAATCTTACAGTTTACCTCTGTGGGGAGACTACACCATGTGTTTTCTCAAGATTTGAAAATCTTTGAATCTAGAAAGTTACCCTCCTATCCTGAAGATTGAGGCAGTACAGTCTGAAATATCGGTATACCTCTACCAGATTACATACCCTCAGACCCCAGAAGACAGTCATCTTCAAAATCACTGCCATGCAAGCCTCAAATGTCATACAGCATGTATGTCTATTTGCATGATTGAACCTTCATCCTTGTTTTATGTTGCTGAAATGGGGTAGAATTTCAGTTCACTATTCTGTATCGAGTTGTGAATATTATATGCAGGAGCCCCCCCCCCAACCCCCATCCAACAATATTCCTGGTTATTACAGGGTAAAGGCCTTACTTTTCCCCCATTGTATATAATGTGATCTATGTTCAGGCTATACATTACTGTTTTCAGCTACAGCAGACTTTGAATTGGGTGTAGTTGTTTTGATCATATTATCTAAGTGTTAATGTGTTTGTCTGTTTTACTAATACAGTCTTAGCCACAGGTGTGCAGAATGCTATACATTTATGGAATTTTCAACTGTAGTTTCTTGTCATGTTATCAGGGTTATACTGTTGGAACTCTCACTATGTCCTAGGTTGAATAACCTAATTTACTGAATTTTAAGTTGCATATGTGTCAAGTAAGTATTAGCAACTCGCTAATACAAGTCTTACACATTAAGTGGTTAATGTATTACCCATCTGTTGAACTGAACAAGTAGATATATAAATTCTCAGAATGCTTGCCACAATTTAATTCAGAATCTTTTGTCTTCCTATTTGCTATCTAAAACAAAGAATAAAATAATAGAAAAACTGTAACTTCACCTGTGACTTTGTATGAGTGTGGGAGGGAAGAACACAGGCCGAGAGTATTGAAAACAGTGCTGAGGAGAATATTTAGATCTTAGAGGGAGGAAGTAATGGAATGCTGAATAAAACTGCATAATTAGGAACTTCATAATTTGAACTTGCCAGATATTATGAAAATTATCAAATCAAGGTGAATTAGATGGGTGGGGCATGCAGCACACATGGGAAGGAAGAAAAATGCATATCTAGTTAGTCTGAAAACCTGAAGGAAAGAAATTTCCAACATCAAGGCTTAGGTGTGTTAATGAAAATTTTCCTGTGCCTAATTAATTAAGAACTATGCCATGAAAACATATGGGTGATTGGAGGTATAGCTCCACCATTCTTGACCTCAACACTGTTGATGAATGGTGACTGGGAGGATATTAAAATGGATCTTTAAGGGGATGGGAAGATGTGGACTTGAATTCATTTAGTTCAGAATAGGGACTATTTGTGGGCTTCTGTGAATATGGTGAAGGACCTTTGGGTTCCATAAAGTGCAGGGAATTTGACTAGGTGAGCAGCCATTAGCTTCTGAAGGAGGCCTTGATCCTAGCAAGCTGGCATTTCTTTTTATTGCTAGTGGGGTGGGACTAAGTCCCTTGTACTGCGGCCACTTCTGGCCTATTGTACCAGCCCCAGACGATAGGTGAGGGTGATTGTGGAGCAATTGGTGGAATGAAGATTGGCAGGGGAAACCGAAGTACTCGGAGAAAACCTGCCCCAGCGCCACTTTGTCCACCACAAATCCCACCTGACCAGACCCAGGATCGAACCTGGGCCGCCGTGGTGGGAAGCCAGCGACTAACAGCTTGAGCTATGGCGCGGCCCAAGCTGGCATAAGTGGTAATGCTTTTGACTTCTATTAGTGAAGTACCCAGTTCAAGTCTCAGCTGAGACACCAACTGGGACTTCATCTGCCTCCCAAAGCAAATGATGGAGTACCTCGAATCAGGCTATGATTGCTGCACACTTGAACTGAAGTTTACCTTCTGATTTTGTGTTCTCATATTAACCACCAGAAATTTTAAGGTTGAGAGATGAAGTGAACTTTCAACACAAGAACTTCATTTGTCCAGAATTAATGCTACTTCAGTATTGAATTAATGTATCATATCTATACATTTATTTAACAAAATGATGGTTTTTAAGAGCATAAAGAATGTGGCTAATCCATTATACATAGATAAGTCAATAAGTAAGTTACAAATGGATATAGAACTTAAACAAATAAGAGTACTGATTTGAAAAATGCTTTTATTTCTCAACATAATCTCTCTGTACATTGAGGCACTTGTCCCATTGTTTCAAAAGCCCCTAAAAACCAGCAGCATAAAATTCTTTGGGCTGCTGTCAGAACCAGGCAGTGACTGGGATCATGAAGGCATACCGCTCACCGCATTCCAGCCTCAAGGACAAACCATAAATGCTGACTCCTACTATAACATCCTCAGGAAACTTTATAAGGCCATTCAACAGAAGAGACCAGGACTCCTCACCAAAGGCGTGTTGCTCTTGCATGACAATGCGTGTCCCCAAACTGCCAACAAGACAAATGAGACACTGCGAAATTTCAAGTGGGAAGTCCTTGAGCATCCTCCGTATAGCCCCGACNTTATACATAGATAAGTCAATAAGTAAGTTACAAATGGATATAGAACTTAAACAAATAAGAGTAGTGATTTGAAAAATGCTTTTATTTCTCAACATAATCTCTCTATACATTGAGGCACTTGTCCCATTGTTTCAAAAGTCCCTGAAAACCAGCAGCATAAAATTCTTTGGGCTGCTGTCAGAACCAGGCAGTGACTGGGATCATGAAGGCATACTGCTCACCGCATTCCAGCCTCAAGGACAAACCATAAATGCTGACTCCTACTATAACATCCTCAGGAAACTTTATAAGGCCATTCAACAGAAGAGACCAGGACTCCTCACCAAAGGCGTGTTGCTCTTGCATGACAATGCGTGTCCCCAAACTGCCAACAAGACAAATGAGACACTGCGAAATTTCAAGTGGGAAGTCCTTGAGCATCCTCCGTATAGCCCCGACATTGCTCCAAGTGACTTCCATTTATTCGGCCCTCTTAAACGTCATCTTTCGGCTGAACATTTTCCCGACAATGAAGCTGTATATAGGGAAGTCACCACCTGGTTCTGACAGCAGCCCAAAGAATTTTATGCTGCTGGTTTTCAGGGACTTGTGAAAGAATGGGACAAGTGCCTCAATGTACACGGAGATTATGTTTAGAAATAAAAGCATTTTTCGAATCAGTGCTCTTATTTAAGTTCTATATCCATTTGTAACTTACTTATTGACTTAACCTCGTAGTTCATTTTAATAGGGGAAGAATAACTCAAATATTATTATCTTCAGTATATTTAGGTTTCATCCCTTAAATATGAATCTAAAATGACACCATTACAAACTGCACTATATTATCTATTTAAATTTTTGTATTTATTTAATATGATTTTACATTATATTCCACTTTGAATGCAAAAATAATTGTACAATTGATATCAGTAGTCAGTTTCTTTTAAAGTCTGCTTTCCTACTGGTACCAGTCTTCAAGAGTTATTTAAATATGAAAATATTGAAGACTCTTGGAAATTTGAAATCATTTCAAGGTTTCTGGTACTCTGAATTGTACTGAATAAACTGAAAATTAACTGTTACATTATAAAAAGATATCAAGATAAATAATGACCAGCATTCATCTTTCTGGGAAACTCTTCCATTTCTCATAATCATGAATTAAAGCACATAGACATCAACAAGAAAAGCCCAGAACATGAATGTAATTACTTCAGAACTATTTATATCACTTTGTAAAACAAATATTTTGACAATGTGTCTTATACACTGAACACTGAAATATGAAATACCTGTCTGAAACAGTACCTCTACCATGCAAGCTGCATACAAGCTTCAGTACAAGAGATGTTGCCTACTGGGCAGTATGTTCTGGGCTTAGGTCAACTAGCAAATAAGGCACATTTAATTTATGTAACCTTGGTTCACCTTGGCAAGCATGGGCAGAAAAAAGGTTACCATAGCAATAATCAATAAACCCAAGGCTTCTCTGATCCTCCTACAGTTCAGTTATCCTGAATAATACATTCATTTTTTTTGTTCTACCATTGACAAAGGCTCATGTTCTATTCTAAGCAGTGTAAGATAATCACAGACTATCTTGTTTTACATAAAATGTGACCAACAATTCTCCATTCCTAGCCATTATGTGGCACCTATGAACTATGAATGTCTAGAGTAGGGGTGGTCAAACTTACTGGATGTCGAGCTACTTGTGATAATTTTCAGAAGCTTGGGAGCTGCAGGCATACATATCATGTACAAAATTTATGTCAAAATTTTCACTGACACTTTCTAGCTGATCCGTATTTCATGTAAGTGCAATACAGAAGCACACGTTGTTTTAAAGTATACTGCACCATGCCAGAACACACCATTCAGTAATTGTATATAAGAAGAAACAGCTAATGGGGCTGATAGTTGTCACCCACTGCTGACAAATCAGAAATAATTCCCACACATGAATTACACTGCTCCCCATGAAACATAATGCGATTAAGTGGTTCACAAAGTCAATAACTTCCTTAAGCGGAGAGTTGTGAACCAGTAAGCAAAGATAAGAACCTCTCTGTATATTTAGAATTTTACTATTGTATAATCAATATTGTCATCTGTTAAGTGTTGATTCATTTAACACTTTTTCCACTGAATGGCTAAAATTAGGAAAATGGTATACAGAGATCAATGTATAACCATGAACTCTAGAACCATACAGCCCTAGCCAATGAGCAGCAAAAAAAAATATATACAGACACATTCATCTTGAATACTATTAATGTTTTAATAATTAAGAAACTACCATTATAAAATGGGAGCTGGGATAGCACAGTCAGTGTAGCAACTGGCTACAGGCTGGATGATCATGGGGTAAGAGTTTGAGTTTCAGTAGGCTCTAGATTTTTCTCTTCTTCACGTTGTCCAGCTCTGAGGTCCGCCCACCCTCCTATCTAATGGGTACTGGGGCAAAAAGCTGACCCCTCACCTCCAGTTAGTGCTGAGGTCAAGAAAATGTGGTTCTGTACATTCACTCCCCTATACGTCTTCATGGCATAGCATTTAATTAAGCACAGGGACACTTTTTTACAGTGAATGCGATGAAGTACCAGACAAATATGCATACCTGCTATCAGACGGCTGGATTCAGTTGAAGATTTCAAGACAATGGGCATCAGAAATTTGAGATGAAAGCCACAGAATCAAGACCAACTGTAAGAGGCCAAGGTTCATCATGGAACATAGTGCCCACAGGAGGAGGAGGGGACGAAGGAGTTTGAGGAGAACGGTAGGATGATGAATGAACAATAAACTGAAATCATGTAGTGTGGAAGGAAGTGGTCTGTTGTAGATACCATCATAGCATTTCCCAGGGGGGACCTAAGGAAAATCTCATAATAAACACCTCATCAGATTAGTTAGTCTGTTGCTTGAGATTTGAACTCGTGGCTTCCCACATATAAAGCAGCAGTGCTGGTGACTCAACAATAATGTTCAGTATGTGGTGAACTAGGGAAGGTTTAGCAATCACAGCATCCATGTATTTGAAGAATACTATCTTCTAGGATAGTACTTTATATAGTCTTGTACACTGCCATGAGAACTTCAAATCTCACATCCATAAGTTTATTTATACATTGTTAATGATAACATTGATGACCTTTCTCTTCTCTGAAGCTTTATAATTTCTCTACATGCACACACACAGTTCTCTGCTCAGAATTTTAAAAATACTCTTTGTCACCCAATTTTTAAAATTCTGGATAACCACTGTAATACTGGAAGATATGAAATGTTTAGATATGTATTTCAATTCTGTCCTTGGTATATCATGTCACAATTACCTGAGAGTTTCCAGTTTAATCTAAGCAATGAAAGGGTGTCTGAAGCACAGTATTAGTTTCATAAATAAAATTAATATATACTATTTGTAATAATTAAGTAATTGCAAGTTTGGTACTACAGCAATATATCATATAACACTCATCACCAACTACTCAGTGTAAATCACATATACCTATTCATACCCCAAACACCTGGGAAGTAAAGTACTTAAAAATATTGTACCACATATAAAAAAAAAATAAAGGAGTTTTTCTTTACAAAACTATATAGTACACATAGCAAATATATGTATATCAGTCTGTATGTTAATAACTAACCTCAGTGTCAAAGAATATTAATTCCTGAACAACTTTATGTGCAGCAAGTAAAATACTTCTTGCACTTACATTACCATGCAATTCACAGTGTTATAAACACATTCCTTTTATAGAGATAAAAAGCAATCAGCATCCATAATGTTGTTCCCCATAAATTCATGGCAAGGTACTCTTCATGAGAATGGTAATATGGTAGCCAGCTCCAGGGAAACATTTGTTTTGTAACTTCATGTCCAATGTACAACACAATGGAATTCATACCTAAAAATTAATATTTCCGATCAGAAATTTTAAGGACATTTAATATTTAATTTCACTGAACAACTTTACAGGACAAATTCAAGATACTGGTTAGAATTTTGTTCAAACATTCTCTATAATGCATTCAGACACACCTACCTGCATAATACAATGGACTGCCAGACCACCAGCCTTTAGCATCCACAACTACATACAGAACACTCTGAAGTAGAAAAGCCATGCTTGCAAGAGCCAAAACAAACGAGAGGGACCACAAGTTCTTATTCACTGGAATGATTCCATCATTCTTTGAGAAGTTGCACAATATTCCAGCAATTAGGCCCTGCAACAAAATCACAACTATATATTATGTATATAAATGTACCTGAATGAGAACTTAATATTATAAGAGGACATCTACAAATTTCAAATCCCAAGAGGTTAAAACTCTGTTCATATGAAGTAATGTATCAAATATTGGTTCTAAGATTTATGTATATATATATATATATTACCGTTAGGATATTCATAACGGAATACCTAGGTATTTAATATGTCAACTGAATAGTTTACTTGAAGTATGTAATAAGAATATACTTTTGCACTCTTAACTAGTTACTTCAGAGAATACTTAATTATTCCATGAAATAACTATTTTAGGGCAGTTAAAATGTAAAATAATGTTTTTTACTGGGTTAGGTAGTCATGTTACACTACCTCAAAAGGTTTAAGACACACATGACTTAACAAAATCAACACACTGCCAATAAGCACGTGAGAACAAATCCATTTGATGACAGGAATGTACATGCAGCAGTCAATATTGTGGTACTTACTTACTTGCTCATGGAGCTGAGCCTTTCTGGAGGAGCTGCCAATTCTGCAGCTACTCAAGAATTTCCCAGCATTTTATGGAACCTGAAGGTTCATTACCATGTTCACAAGAGCCCTCCACTGGTCCCTATCC